TAATTGTGACATGAATCTGCATTTAAAGGTTAGTTTTTTCTCATATTTTCAGTGTGAGACTGAGCTAGTTAACCAAAAATATATTTTATCATGTCTCTAAATCCATAACAACATGATGCTCGATGTCCCTTTTGACATGCTGGAAGAAATTCACTATTTAAGTGTCAAATTCCATACATAAAATAACACAAAGCAGCCCAACTGATACAAACTATGTCAGATTTGTGAGACCCTTTGTAGCCTGGAGTACCATCACTCAGGAAGTATAGGTTCATTCATTTTTATTAACACAAACTTAAATATTATCTGTTGCTATTATGCCTAGGACTAGATATTGACATTAATTACTTTTGTTATTGATAAAATTATTTCAGTAGCATAGAGTATCAAAACATTGTGTCATTCCACACAAAATTTCAATGCCTAAGTAGTCAGTCTTGTCTGGATCTGTTAGCCAAAAAACATGCTAAAGTCTTCTGATACACCCTGGACAGGTCGCCAGTCCATCGCAGGGCAGACAGACAGACATACACACACATTCACACCTAGGGGCAGTTTAGCATGACCAATTGGCCTGCATGTTTTTGGACTGTGGGAGGAAACCGGAGTACCCAGAGGAAACCCATGCAGAGAACATGCAAACTCCACATAGAGATGACCCTGGTCGCCCGGCCGGGAATCGAACCCAGGCCACCCAGGCTACCCACTGCGCCACCGTGCCGCCCTGTCTTCTGATCTAAATTATAAAATTAATATAAATTTTTATATTTAAAAGAAGGTATTGAAACAAGTGTCATTAAACAATTGGTGTCAAACACACCAAACTCGTCAAACTATGTCTTCATGGACCTTGCTTTGTGGACAGTGGCATAGTCATGCTAGAACAGGTAAGAGCCTTTCCCAAACTGTTGCCAAAAAAGTTGGAAGGATATAATTGTCTAGTATTTGTATGCTATAGTATTAACATTACCCTTCACTGGAACTAAGGGTCTAAGCCCAAACTCTGAAAAACAGCCCAAGCCCATTATCCCTCCTCCACCAAACTTTACTGTTGGCATTATGCATTCCGGTAGGAAGTGTTCTCCTGGCATCCGCCAAACCCCAGTTCATCCATCAGACTGCCAGATAGTAAAGCATGATTCATCACTCCAGACGCTTGGCATTGTGCATAGTGACCTTAGGCTTGTGTGCAGTTGCTCGGCCGTGGAAACCCATTCCGTTAAGCCCACGGCGCACGGTGTGCTGATGTTTCTTCCGCAGTTTGGAACTCTGTAGTTACTGATGCAGCAGAGGATAAACGATCACTATGCGCTATGTTCTTTAGCACTCTGCGCATCACTCTGTGAGTTTGCGTGGTTTACTGCTTTGTGGTTGAGCTATTGTTCCAAGATGCTTCCATTTCATAGTAATAGCACTTACAGTTGACCAGGGCAGATCTAGCAGGGCTTGTGGTGAAGGTGACATCCTGGGACAGTGCCATGTTCAAAGTCACTGAGCTCTTCAGTACAACCCATCTACTGTCTGTGTCTGTCTGTCTGTCTGTCTGTCTGTCTGTCTATGGAGTCTGCAAAGCTATGTGCTTGATTTTATACATCTGTTAGCAATGAGTGTGGCTGAAACACTTCAAGTCAATAATTAGAAGGGGTGTAAACATACTTTTGGCCATATAGTGTTCCATGATCTATGGATCCTGGATCCTAAATCAAGCCGCATCTCTCATGCGAAGCCCAAAAACAAACTTGAGCTATTTTGGATATATTATGAAAAAAAAACAGTTTATTGAAACAAAGTATTATGCTTGGAACAGTAGATGGATGGAGCTAATCAGAGGAACTATGGACAAGCCATTAAGAAGCCTAAGGATCTAAACAGAAGACAGGATGTTGTGGAGAAATTCTACCCATATGGTCACTAGAAGTCTGAATCAGCATTACAGCATTAGTAATAATAAAAATATTATTAAAAGCAATAGTGTTTGGAAAATATTGTGATATTGAATTTAACAGTACTGCAGAGCACTGACTGAATGTGTCCTTGCGAACAGGAACAGCTCATGTTTGATGTAGTTTCCATTTAGAATCTACTCTTAAAAGCTTTTGTCAATCCATGAATACACAGCGCACATGTCAGAGGCTGTAAGTCAGTTGAGCTGGCTGATCGATGGGATTCTTCCCACAGGCCTGCTGTTGTGAGGAGGAAGAGTCTGAAATGTGTTGACCTTTTCTTTAATTCTGCACTGGGCTCTGGACATGTGTTTTGAGCAGGCAGTCATGGTTACTATTCATTAGAGAAAAGTCAGGAAGTAGTGCTTTTTTCTCTAGTTTTCAGTGGTGTGCCATTCTCTCTCTGTATGAATGAATACAGTATAGAAAGTACTGTACAAGTGACAGTTCACTTTGTACACTCTATGTGGCTCAAGCTCCTTGCAGATATTCACAGTTCTTCAGAACATTGCATTGTAATGATGCATGAGCTTTTGTCTTTGCTCTGAGTGTACGTGGGTTGTTTTGAGTCACAGAGCACTCACTGACAAATTGCAGAAATAAATCAACTCTCTCCAGCATTTAGCTGTGAAATTCGCAGACACCACTCACACTGGCTCACGGAAACCAGATTATTCTGGTCTGTGCCTGAACTCTGGTGTACTTCAGCTTTAAAAGCAAAAAAAAAAAAACCCTACAAAATGGCTTCAAAAGGCCTTTCATTAGGATCTGCATCACTGCAATTAAAATGCTTATATTTATCATAAAGACAGGCATTTGCTGTTGGTTGTGTAAAACACTTTTTAGATGTTACCTTCAGCTTCACGAACAAAAGGAACACACAGAGCGTGTCTGCACATCTGTGAGGTTTTGAAATAGGAGGAACCAGCACAGATGGAAATACAGTATATGGATGCACTCGTCTGAACACCAACACTGGCAGCCTATTCTAACTGTAGAATGAAATTCACCCTCCTTTCAGAAAAGCACCTCCTTTAACTGCCGCTATGCGTGGTACCAGGAGAGCCGTAATTTGCTTTAACTTCCCGTCACAATCAGAGCGCATTTGTCATGTTCTTGGACTCGGCTATTGTTGAACTCATGATATACAATTTCCTGTGCTCAGTTTATGGTTGTTGAGTAACCGTTGACTAATTCTGATTCTGATACTGCTGCTGGCACCGGGCTTGGCTTGTGAGAGGAAATACGGCAGAGGTATCATTAATTTTTCTCAAGAGCCAAGGAAACAAAGCACAGAAATAGCTTTTGGTTTAGAATAATGTCTATCATTTATGTCCTGAATATTTTGCTAATGTGTGGATTCCTCAATAATAAGCATCAGCTGTTCTCAAAACCACTTTTTGTCCATGCAGCAACGAAAAGATTGGTATGATTTTCCTATGATGAGGTTTTCAGATGTAGTGCTTACAAACCTGCTGATGTTTCCCTTGTGAGAATTTATATTCAATAATTTGAAGACATGAAACTGAAAGTGGATATAAAATAATGATAGTAGTGAACAAATGAGGACAGGAACATAAACACACTATTCATATGTATAATAATTGGCCTAATAATATGTTATGTGAAGCATTTAACACCCACAGTGAGTACAATTTTGCAATACTAGACACACACAGGATAAGACTGGACAGTTTATTTAAGACAAGCATGACTTTCAGTTATGTTTTTATTGATACCTGCATATTCAGTGTTTTGTACTTTTCATTGTAGCGGTTTCTATTCTCACTTAAAGACTTTTAAAAGCATCGGTACAGTATCTGTATCCGTATTATATCAGGATATTAGCCCTGGCTTTATTTACTATCAGGTCAAAAAGAAAATCATTTATATCGCCCATCCCCTTTCAGAGGCCCCAGGAATGCGTCTTCCCGCACACGCTGCCTGGAAAAGCAGTGACCCTGCAGCCGTGACACATGCATTACGGGGCAGGGCCTGCCGCTCTGCACAACCAACATGACAATCTGTCATTGACACTGAAACCAGTGCAAACAAAGGGGGAGATACCAAGGGAACGAAGAGAGCGCAAGACAGCCAGACCCCCTCTCTGCTTCTTTCTTTCCTTCTCTTTCTCACTCTCTCTCGCCCTCTCTCGCCCTCTCTCTCTCTCTCTCTCTCTCTCTCTCTCTCTCTCTCTCTCTCTCTGTCTCTCTCTCTCTCTGCCAGTGTTCATGCTTATTTATGCAAACACACACGTGCATGCAAGGTTTGTTGTCATGACAGCTGTGTTCCCTTTTCCCAACCAAGGCTTACCTATTGCATGTACGGCATATTCGTTTATCAGACAAAAAATGAAGTGGCATTTTGTCTAGTGTTTTGTGGAGTCTTGCGTGGTTTTTAGGTACAATGTTTTCCCCTTAGCCATGGAGAGAGAGAGAGAGAGAGAGAGAGAGAGAGAGCGAGAGAGAGCACGAGAGAGAATGGAGGGGATTATAAAAGCCAGGCTTTGACAGGCTTTGATTTGGCTGGGGGATGGGGGATGCAGGGGGTTAGTGCCTTCTTCCGAATCCAATTTAAAACCCGTCCAGACATCTAATAGGGGGCAGAATCAGATGGGCAAATGTGCGTGTGTGCTCAAAAATGGAGGGTGATTCAGATTAATTAGTCTCATTGTTGGCAGCTTTTGTTTTTCTCATTTGCTGTAATATGGCTGCTGGAATTGGTTGTCATAGAGATGCTGAGACGGGCAGCGGGATATTGGAGGGTGTCTCTGCAGAAGTGACCGAAAATGCTGTGTTTATGTTAGGTCAGTTTTGCGAGGCTTTCCCTTGAGGATTGACCCCTTGCTGGCTGTGTATCTTATTCCCATCTATGAATGAAATGGATATTATTGGTATATACTGTTCATAGCAAATATGCAGTTTACTATACACCATATGTAAATTACACTTATGTGTATTGTTTATACCAAAATATCACTACAAGGATTTGTCTTATAAATGATTAACCTGAGGTTGACAGATCAAGTAAAGTGATAGTTTTCTCTCTGTCCTGCAGCAAATGCTGATGAAACAGCAGGATCGCATAGATGATCGAGTGCAAGACATAGAAGAGCAACTGTACAAGCTGGAGTCAGACAAACGGCAGGTGGAGGTAAAAAAAAAAGGACACACATACACAAAATGTATATTTCTGTCTCTGTCTGTCTCCTTATATACTTATGTTTAATGCATGTCTTGAGAAAGAATGTGATTACATATAAATGTCTGTGTGCGTGTGTGTGTGTGTGTATATATGTGCCATAACTTGTGAACAGGCAATATTTTATGCTTTAAATACAGCAACTAAACAGTAATTGTGCATGATAATGTGTGTTTGATGTGTTAATGTGTTTTATTTATTGAATATTTATTTTAAAAGTTATTTAACTGGGCTGTAAATGTTTATTTGCACAGAAAAACATATTAGAATAAATACAAATAATGTTAACACAATAAGTAATGATTTTATGTCTGCCAGTGTGTTTGTTTAACCTCCTCTCTTGACAGTCCAGTATTATTTGTAGTAATCATCCAATGCCTTATCAGTCCTTTATCAAAGGGTCAATATCAGAAAAACAGATTTTCTCACCTTTCTGAGATTTAAGAAAGATGTAGTGTTTCAACACTGTTACAAAGTTTCAAAAAGTGTAGTGGCCTCCAGTCTATATATGTCTATATATATATATATATATATATATATATATATATATATATATATATATATATATATATACACTAAGCTGTAAAAATGTTTGAAGTTTTTGTGATATTATGAAAACCAATAGATTTATCTATTCAGCCTATAGCAGTTTAACCCCACCCATTTATACTGAAGTTATAAGGAGTGTTTCAGCCCGGAGTGCTTTTTAAATGAGGCACAATACAGGGCAGCCAATCAGAGGGGGAGGTCATTTACATATATCTGTCTTAAAGAGACAGTAACAAAAACAGATCATGTAAAAATGAGTTATCATTACCATTACTGTTTTTTGGTATGTGAACCCACATATACATCATTAGTGGAAAAAAATGAAAAATAAGAAAAATGTTGGATATGGCCCCTTTAAGTGAAAACAGGTTTGCTGGTGGTGGAATTTAACAAACCCATGCAGTGGCTGGGGGCATTAAGGAGGTATCAGGAACATTGTTGTAGAAATTCTTGTTACTTTTTACTGCATTCATGTTTTTTGTATTTATTCTAACGTTATACTGTACAAGCAAAAAACAATTTCCTGCCCAGATAAATGGTTTTAAACAGTTTGCATACATGTCTAAGACTTTTGTCAAATTGTGTGGGTTTTCTAAGTAAAAATAAGTGAAAATAACACATCCTCTACAGAGACCAAACTTAAATATGACATTTTTCACAAAATTTAGTGCATAATTTCTGTTTATTTGCTATTGAATTTAAAATAATGGAAAAAATAACACATCTAAAATGTGCCATAACATTTGCAGAGTTTTTTTCCAATATGTTTAATTCAGTAGATAAAGAGTAATGCAGTAACTGGGCATTAAAATGTGTTCTCTATAGAGGATTTGTTAACTTATTTTCACTTTGAAAATCAACAAAACACGCATATGACTGTGTGTATGTATATAAACATAATATGTTGAGTAGAATAAGGCAGTTAGAAGAAGTTTGGTTCCTGTCTGGGTGCCCTCCTTGTTAAATATCATCATCAGATTTCATTTGAAAGATTGTTTAGAAAAAGGTGTTGGTTGGTAACCCTAAATACTAAATACTCACTGGATGAGAGGTTTGGAAATGGTTAAGCTAACACGCTGACACACACAAAATCACGGTATTATTTATTTCTTTATTTATATTTGTTCTAACGTTTGTATTTTCCTTCAAAAACTTACTGCCCAGATAAATAACTTCACATATCATTTTCTTTTTCAGTACTGTGTATAAATAATGTTTTAAAATGAAATGTACAGTCTTTGTGGCAAAGCCTTATCATTTTGTTTTTTCCCCAATCCTCTAATGTTATGTTTACTTGCATTCATCTTGGGGGGAAAAAATCTCTCTGTGTGTTTGGCTTGTTTTTGAGACTTTGAATAAAAAAAGTTAATACCAAGTACTATTGCATCGAGGAGAAGTGTGGTCAAATTCTGTTGTTCTCTGGGCTTAGGCAAAGCCTTTGAACCATCAAAGCTTTGTTCAGTTGCCAGCCCAACAAATACTTTTTCTTGCTATCAAAAGCACATCATTGTTTGTCATCTTTTTTGTGGCGTATTAAATGCAGTGTACTTTACTCATGAAAACAGTCATTTAATTGCTTTTCCCTTTTGCTTAAAAAGGAGTGAGATTATGAATGTAGGCCTAGTCTGATCTTCACTTCTTTTCAAAACAAGTACGTTCAGAGTCTTGAGAATAGCGTGGGATTGTGGGTGTATGTAAAACATCTTGGACCGTTTTCCCAGCAACAGATTAAGCTTAGTCTTGGCAAAACAACTTCTGACACCTCTTTGTGTCACGTTTTATGGATTTTTTTGGGTGAGCAGATGTACATGTGTGCTTAGATTTCGTGTTGTGTGCAGGATAAGGTGGAGCAGCTGAAGGAGGAGGTGCGCATGCAGTACCAGAAGATGCAGCAGCTCCTGGAGGAGGACCTGGGGAAGACGCTGGAGGTGCTGGAGAAGGCGCGCTCCAAATTCTGCCAGGAAAACTCCAGCCAGGTCCTGCAGCTCAACGAGCGGCGCCAGGAGGCCAAAAAACTGCTTAGCTCCGTTCAGGTGCTGTTTGACAAGGCTGATGATATCAACTTCATGAAGGTGAGACATCTTTTCTCTGTCCCTCGCTCACCCCCCTTCATTTTTTCCCTTCTTCTTTCTCTCACTCACTCTGCCTTGAGCTGTAAATCTCCCCCGCACACGCCAACGCCCACATGCTCGCATTCGCTTGCATAAATGCACAGTGTGAATGTGGCCATACCTGTGAGAAATACTTCAGCACAGCGTGTGTTTGTCACAAGATCTGAGCTTCCAGAATTTTTTTTTTTCTCCATGCACACGGACAAAGAGGCAGTCATGCAACAGCTTGTAGACTACTTGTCCTGTAATGCTTCTTCCTGTTCTATTTCTCTTCCAGAACACAAAATCTGTGAAAATACTCGTGGATAGGTAAGTCGTTCCTCACATATTAACATTTACAAAATGCCAGGAGGTGTATTTATGGTCAGATGTTATTTGATATTGCATAATGTCAGATGATCTGTCTTTTTCTTTTCACAGATCTCAGACATGTACGGGCAGTGCACTACCTCCTTACAAAGCAGGCCACCTTAACTCCAAAATCTTTCTCTCTGAGATTTCTAAAAAGGAAAAGAGCCTACGGAAAGTGCTGGAAGGTACATCATGCCTGGAAATCAGCTTTATACAAACTGCTTTGATCTCGTTCTAGACTCGTTCATGCTCCACTCACAAAAACGTTATGGAAAAAAATCCATTCCATCTAATGAAAAATTGTAGCATACAAAATAGAGATTTATAATATTTATTTTGTATGCATGTGGAAGGTCATACTATTAGAATAGGGTTTTTTTTGGGGGGGGGGCGGGGCATATGTAATTTCGCCCTGCCTTACAGCTACAGCAAGCATGCATGACTGAATCATCTCCCTACTTTATAGAGACTCTATGTAGGTTATCTTTTTCATCATCTAAAGATCTTCACCTTTGTTTCTCTCTCTGTTGCTGTCACCAAGTAGCTCGACTTTAGTCACGGAGCTTAAGGCAGCATATTGTCGCTCTTCCTGCTTTTTTCCATGATGATAATATATGGCAAGTACAACAAGGAAAATGTGAGTCAGTTCCTCAGAGCATTGGTCACTAACACTCCTCCTTGAGATCTACTTTCCTGCAGAGTCTAGTTCTAATCTGCATCTAACAGATTACCGCCCTACATACAAGACACTAATGTATCTGATTCAGCCAGTCAAGGACTTGTGGAAGTTAAATAGCTGGAGCAGGTATGAAAGATTGTGTTTGGAATGAGACGGAAGATCTCCAGGACTAGGGTTGGTGGCCACTGCCTTAGAGTAACCATGCTGCTATAGGTGTAGGTTATAGGAACGCTAAAACAGCTGAAGCCAGTGAATTTTCATCCTAGCCCATCAGTCAGATATTTATGCCCAAAACCCTGAGCCAGTATTACAGAAACTTCCTATCTTCAGTCCTAAGTTAAGATCTGACAAGGTCAGGATAGGATTTTTCACAAATTTGTATTACTGATGTAAATCCTATCTTAATTTAGGAATTATGTTTTATCTTACAGCGTCTTATCTCAAGTTAGGAAATCCTAAACTGCTTGAGGTCGATAATCAACTGTTATGTCTGTTACCAAGCAACCGGCGACAAGCACAGCTGAAATCTAAACACATAATCAAAATAATGTTTAAAATATTTAAAAATGTAAGTTACAGGGTGTCACGGCTCCTAATAAACAGCCACACATTCAACTCTGACCAGTTTTCATCAACTTTAATAAAGGTAATAAGAGCGGATGGTGACAATCATATCTGCAGTGTCAGAGATTTTTAAAGCACAGTGTTAAAAAAAAAAAACACTTTTGCAATATAAATAAATGTAACGTCATTATGCTGGTGAACTATGCTGCCTGTCACTGCCTAAAAACAATATAAACGGAAGTTTAAAACAGAAGTTAGGCCAACTAAAGTTAAGGCAGTATTTAGGAAATTTTGTCTAGTTAGGAAGCTGCTGTAATACTATTTTCTTACCTGGAGTTAGGATTAGATTATGAATTTAGGAACTGTTATTCTGTAATAGCTACTGTCCTAAATTCAGTCATAACTAAATTTGTCATGGTGACTAAACAGATTAGATAATATTTGAGTTAGGATTTTTTCTGTAATATGACCCCAAGATTATGCAAATAAAGCTTTACATGATTTATTTCCCACTATTACAAAATAAATATATTATTTGAAATGAACAGCGCCCCCTAAATTTAGGCATTTTGACAAAACACAGTTGTGCGCTACAGTTGAATGGGATTTTTGCCAGCGTTCAGTAGGGCTGTATTGCTTCCTTTGCATCTACTTGCAGGTTGCAAGCTGCCCGAAACAGTTTCTGTTACACAAAGCAATTCAAATGTAGTCAAAAGTGTATGCAGCGTACTAGTTAGCAAAATTGGTAGCTAATATTTTTCTCATATTGTATTACTGAGACTATTTAAAACCATGTATTGTATTGTTTAGCCTATATTTTCATCTTTATATATATATATTTTTTTTGCCAGTAGAGGAAAAAATGAATAACTTAAGTAGGTTGCGATACAGCAGGATAACAAAACAGAAAAAACACTGGTGCAAGCAGCCATTCAAACAGCTGTCTTGTTAACTATAGCTGGCTAGCTAATTAAAATAACTGTTTAGTTCTAATCTTGCCTTTGTCTCTGTGCTCCCGTGTCCAGCACCCTTCTCCACTCCTACACACTTCCTCCAGAGTGTTCCCGTCTACCCTTGTGGCGTCAACAGCTCAGCACCTGAGAAACGCAAGCACTCGACTGCCTTCCCTGAGAGCGGCGGTAACTTCCTGGACTCGTCCTCCTCCTCCTCCGGATCTGTGAGCAAACAGCAGTTTCTGGGTCCCAGTTCCAGCTCTGCCGATGGTCCGTCCTCCCAGCCGCCCACGATGGCTCCCTGCAGTTCAGCCCAGCACATTGTGGGCCTCGGTGGCAGCAGCAGCGCTGCTCCAGCTGCCCACCATTCCGGCTCGGTCTTCACTCCCTCGCACTACCCCAACGCCGGTTCTTCACAGCAGGCCGTGCTGCCGCAGTATGGTGGCCGCAAGATCCTCATGTGCACAGTGGATAACTGCTACTGCTCCAGCGTGCCCTCTGTATCAGGTCACCGCGGCCACACACCCTACCCGCGCTCAGGCTCTTTCCCCTGGACGCAGGAGTACTCGCACCCCCTGCCCTCCGCGCCATCCATGGCCCAGCCCCTGCAGAGCCTGTCCATGCGCGACTGGATCGACGCCTCGCAGAGCCACAGGCACCCTGAATTCTATGGGCTGTACAGCCAGTCTTCTACCAAACACTACGTCGCCAGTTAACCTTCCAGCAGCGTCAGGAGCACACTTTTGATTCCTCTCCATTTCCTTCTGTCTTTCTTTCACTCATTGACTCTTACTTTCTTTCTGTTGTTTTTTTTGTAAGGAAATGAATAACACAGTACATTGCAATGGCAAATTTTGGCACTTTGTCTCCTTTTATATTAGCCGACGCCAGTCGTGTCGCCTTCCCAACCACATATCTCATTATCTTCCATCTTAAGTCACAAAAAGCTTCTGAAATCCCTGTCTGCCCCTGTGTGGAGCTTCTTAAAAAAAGGGAATCTTTCTAAAGAACTTATGCGGTTGTGCTTTTAAAATTACAAACAGATCTTGGATAATTGCAGATGCTGCTGACCCAAAGCAGATAATGTTAGCCTGTAAATGGGGCCGGTTTAGAGCACTCTCCCTGCCCCCTCTTCCTGCCTTTAGGGTGTCTGGGGAGGAGGAAGCCTCTTTTCGTCATGAATTCGGCCTGTTGTTCACTGTGTAACTGTGGGAAAACACATCTCATTTGATACATTTACATGGTTTCTAAGCTCCTTGTTATTTTTATTAACACGAATGGTTGGTTAGTGGAAAGGTGTTGATGATTAAAGAAAAGAGGAGTAAAAAAAAGATAAGGGATGCCGTTGTTTTCATAACTCACTTCGACCGCAGCTCGAGTTAGTGTGTGGCTGGTTGCTCTAAGCCGAAACCACGTGTAACTTAACTCCATGCAGAGGGGCGGTGAGCTGGGATTGACCTCTTACTTAAATGCCTAAAAGGCAAGAGGATATGGTTGTTTTTCTATCATGTTTACAGTTACATATTCATATTTTTATGATTTGACAGGAGGTGGAGAAGGTTTTGTCTTAATTCTGTTCAGGAAGGAACACCCTAAAGGAATCAAAAAGCATAGTTACAGGTTCTAATCTTGGAAGGCTCCTCAAACAGCACTCACAGAAGGCACAGGCCTTTCATAGACTTCTCTGGACTTCTCATTCCAACTACTGCACCTGAAACATTCTTTCCTGGATTATGCTTCCTGTTGGGTATGGTTACTTCCTGCATCAAAGCACATGTAAGGCATGTTCCGGAGGATCAGTGACTGCACTCGCTCGTTGATCACATCTCCTTCTGCTTTAAAACCTTGTCAGCTCCGGTAGAGCCCATGGGTCTTTGTGGTCCCTGTGTGGCACTGATTGTCAAGAACATGCTGAAAATCTGTGGACTTCCTGTTTGTGGCTCTTAAGCAGTCCCAAGAAGCCTTTCCATGCACCCAGAACTCCAAGAGGCTAAACTGGGTCTGGCTATGAAAAATGGCTGTTGACATTTTTTCCATGTATTTTATACGAGAGAACAGCATGGACTGCTAAAGTTCTGAAATTCAGTTCATTGTGCTTCAAAAGAGTATTAAATGTTGGTTGAGAAACAAATGTATACAGTACAATCTTTTTGTACATATTTTGTGCAACACAAAAATTCTGGCTCTAATCTAAAAAAAATAAAACAGCAATTACTGGAGCCAGATCTGCGTGGTGTTCATGGGTCTGACTTCAATTCTCAGCACTAAATATGACATTTCATCATTTTGAAACATTATTAGACCTCATCATTTAGGCTCCATATATGTCTGCCTTGTTTTAACTGCACAAAGCTGCATGTTGCATACTGTTGATCTCCTTTTCCCCTCTGGATAATGGCTTTGTGCCACTACAAATGCTTAGCTGCACTTTAGACTCGCTGCAATCTTGAGGTATCTCCTTGACAACTTGTCCTTGAGCTGAAGCCTATTGTTTTCCTAGCAAAGCACATCACATGAATCAACAATGAATATTAGTCTTCTCTGTTCAGAGATATTCATATTTATGGTACTGTGCAAAAGATTTAGTCACATGAGAAAATTATAGTTAAAAAGTTATTGAACTGGTCAGTAAATGCTTATTTGCTCAGAAAAACACTAAAATTACAAATAATTACAGAACATATTAATAAAATGAGTAGTGATTTTGTCATTGTGTTCGTTTAAACGTTTTCAATCCTCGCCTCAGCAGCTCAGTATCAATTGAAGTTATCATCTAATACCTATTTTGGCTAATCAATACTTCATTTTGTAATACCAAGCGTGCTGGTGATGGACATTAATATATCTCTGCAGTGGCTGGGGGTGTTCAGGAGAAATCTGGAACCAAACCTTGTTCTTCAAACTAGCTCACAAGAAATTCTTGTTACTTTTTACTGTGTTTATTTGCATTTATTCTAATGATATATTGTGTTTTACAAGCACAAACACGCTTATTGCCAAGATAAACTGTTTTAAATAATGTGCTTAGATGCCTTTTGCACAGTACTATGTATATACCAGTGGCGAACCATGACTCGTAGAGCTAAGGCTTCAGTTTGGGCCATAAATGTCAAAACTCAGTCAATAAACAAGGCATGAAGGACCTCTACGATACTGCTAATTTTTTCTAGAACCCTTATGAAGATTTAGTAGTATGTTAATGCTGAACTAATAGTGATTCACATGAACATTTTTTGGCCATTCCAGATTAAACACAGACATTTGAAGCTTGTAAAATACATTCCAAGTTTTATTTGAAGCTTGTGACAGGCATATTAACATAGAGTTTGCCTTGTAGCAGTTTTACAGTGATTCTTTCAGAGGCCTGCTGCCGTCTTCCCTCTGGCTAAAGCACATTGGTCCAAGCTACCACATCCACTTGCAGTCAGGGACGTATCTAGGACTTCCATAAGAGACATTGTTTCCTCACAAAATTAGTCCCTTCTACTGAAAATCAAAACGTAATTGGTTGATTACACTGTCACTTGCTAATGTTCCTTATGTTATCTGGCACATTAGGACTTCAGTCCAGCTCGTGAAGGCCTAACCAAAAGGGAGAGCTCGCTTGGCTGTGTCTACCCAGATACCGCAATCCTGATTGGATTATTTTTGTTGGTTATTTAACCTTTTTTGTTTCTAGTCAAAATTTAACTATGAAGGAAGAGAATTACTACAGCACTTACAGAGTCCAAATACAACCGACGTCACAAAAATGAACAAAAATTGATTTTTTTCTTTTTTCACATAAACCATTAGGCCTTCTCTGAAAGCCTATAAGGCCCTGAGGGTGACTGGTATACACTCATATAGATCCTCTATAAAGCATGGATTGGTTAGAGCAGAACCCCTGTTGTACCAGGCAGTAGGCCTGTGTGTTACATTGCCTGGAGATTTGTCAGTTGGTGATCTCTGGATTTTGTCTTTTGAGCGGTCTCTGTTTATAAAAATGGTTTTGGGGGGCCGTGTTTGAGAGGCAGTTAACCATTTGTCAGGCAGTTTAATCATTTGTTTATGACTTTGGTAATATGTAGTTACTGTTTGCTGAGCTTTATGAGGCGTGACTGGAATATGTGGCCTTCCTGTAAAAACTCCGCAGCCTTTGCCTGACTCACTGGACCTACAGCAGGCTGGGTGGAAGGTGGTGGAAGGCATGCCTCAAAGCGATGGCAACACATCCACCAGAATAACAGCGGCGAGTCATCGCAAATCCCCCACATCTGATATAGCTCTCCTGCACGGCAGACTTGGAGGAACCAGAGGATGACAGAAGTGGTGACGACTGTTACGGGTTGCCCTGTGATGCGTCAGGCTCAGAGATCCCATTAAAGCATAGTGGAATTTGGGGGTGGGGAGGAGACAGCTGTAGGGTAGGGGGGGAAGGGGCCAGAGGGGAAAAGAAGAAGAAGAAGAAGAAGAAGGGGAAAGTCATCAGTCTCCAAGAGAAGCTCATCATTTATTTATGGAGTGTAACGTTCCTGTCCTTCTCCTCCCACGGCCCCTCGCATCCACACTCATTACACACACACACACACACACACAGTGCCGTCGACACTTTGTGACCAATTAGAGATCTGAATACAATCCATCTTCTTCTTCTCCTTCCTTTTTTTTTTTATCTTCCCCTGCCGGCTTGCTGTGGGTGGACACGCCATATGCTCTGAGCGTTCCACAATGGGTTTGTTTTTTAGAGCTCCACACCGTCCCATGATGCTAATCACACTGGAGCTGCTCATGCGGACTGACTGCAGCCCGTGGGAGGACTCCTGGCCTGCCGGAAGGATCGATTGCAAAAACGCAGCAGAGGCAGCAGCAGCCACTCAGCTCTGGCTCTTCTTCGCATGTGATCATGCCTGCGCTGGTCATATTTCACAAGGCCTGGAGAGAAAAGATAACACCCGTTAGCCGTTAGGACTCCTAAAACCTCTCCTGGACCGAATCCACCTCAGACAATATGAATTGTTCCCATTTTTTTTCTTTTTAAAACAGGGTGTAGGTGTAGGAGCGTGAGAGAGGGGAAGAGAGAAGGAGGAAGATAAGGGTGTAGACATATTTGGATAAAGGCTGCAGGGCCTTTCACTCTGCTGCTTCCTTTGAGGCCATCACAGGCTGAGGCTAGTTCTTTGGTTTGCATTCACACAGTAAGCTTTGCCGTCCCAGTCCTGCTATAGGGCTGGGTGAAGTGTCACATGTGACAGCTGATCAGATTAAAGAGAATTCGCTATGAGCTCTCCCCTCTTTTAACATGCATTATTAAACCATGTCTGGGGCGTCCCTGAGAAGAAGGCTGCACACAGAGACTCCCTCAGCCGTTTGCAGGGGGAGGCTGTAGGTTTTGATTATAGCGCTCTAAGGTGTATTGTTGCATGCTTAATGGTAGCTTGAGATCTGTTACCTGACCATCAGTGTGTGATTGGTGTACTGGAGCTGTCATGTAGATTGACATTGTTTTCTACCTTTACTTTTTCCAGTGAGAAACCTGGAGTAATTCACCACAACTTTAGGCTGTTTTATGTGTTTAAGTGCACACTCTTGAAAATAAAGACGCTAGAGGGTTCTGTAAAGCAAAGCCATGAAGGACTCGTCATCCCTGCTGCTGGAGATCTGCCTTTCTGCAGACTTTAGCTCCAACCCTAATCAATTCTACCTGATCCATCTAATTATTGCCTGTAGAAGTCCTTCACTGCCTGATTTGAATGTGTTAAGTGTGGGTTGGAGGTGAAACCTGCAGGAAGGTAGATGCCCAGAAGGGTTGGTGACCACCACTGCTATAAAAGAACCACTTTTGGTTCCCTATAGAACCTGTCAATGGATGATTTGTTAAAGGAACTTTTTAAAAATGAGATGTGCAAGTCTGAAGAACCTTTTCAAAGGTAATGTAAATGTTTCTCCTACGGCTGTACATCCAAGCAAAAAACCGCAAAACTGCTACATAACTACACTCTCATAACTACATAACTTACCTATTACAAACCTCAAGTCGAAAAAGGTTGGGACAGTATATGAAATGTTAAAAAAAGCACAAAGCAGTGATTTTTCCCTTTGACCTGTACACCTTGAATATCTGTTGTACTGTATAAACTTTATTTTTGTGTATACACTCTTTCCAACAAAATTGGGACAGGAGCTTGTATAGCATTGTGTTACATCACCTTTCCTTTTAACAGCACTTACTAATCATTTGAATGAAAACACCAAAAGTGGAATTTTTTGTCATTCTTCCATTACGCAAACCTTCAGTTGCGCAATTGTGCAAGGCCTTTGTTGTCATATTCTGCGCTTCATCATGTGCTACATGTTTTCAGTGAGAGACAGGACTGAATTGCAGGCAGGCCAGTGTAGTGCCTGCACTCTCTGATTACACAACAAGTGCAAAATGTGGCTTGAAATCAGCATGGACGTCCCTGAAAAAGACGTCGTCCAGAAGACATGTTGCTCCAAAACGTGTATCTTTCACTGATAATAGTGCCTTTACAGATGTGCAAGTTACTTGGGTGATGAGCACTAATTTGCTGATGAGTGTTGAGCCTCGATCCATTCTAACTCATAAGGAACTAGGCCTGTCCTGGATGCTCCTTTTATACCCAAGCATAATTGCATCACCCATGTAAGATGTTTTTGAACATTGTACAACACTGAACTAGTCTTAAATTGTCCCTGTCACAACTTTTTTGGAACATGTTTCAGGCATCAATTTCAGAATGTGTGTATATTTACTAAAAACAATGAAGATGATGTGGTAAAACATAAATATCTTGTCTTTGTGCTGTTACTGTCCCAATACAGGTCAAAGTGAACAAAATACTGCTTTCTATTTTTATGTGCATTTCAAATACTGTCCCAACATTTGTGATATTGAGGTTTGCAGTTTTATATTAGTCACTGTATAAGTCATAAGATTAATAACTAAATAATAAGCCTATCAATAAACTAAAAAAAAAAACCTAAAAAATGTTTTTGAATCAACTTCAACAAATACCTTTAATGCAAAATGAAAAGCAAAATGAAGTAAAAGCAAAATAAATGGGTTAGATTAACAAAAGCAATATTTTGTAGCAGTTCAAACCTCAAACTTCACTTCAAATCAACTTTTGCCCTGTTACATTTTTGTACGATGACAGTAGTTGAAGAGAGTAGAGAGTTCAAGGGGTTTATTTTCTTTTGTAGTGATGGGTGCATGACTGTTAAG